GTGTGTGTGTGTGTGTGTGTGTGTGTGTGTGTGTGTGTGTGTGTGTGTGTGTGTGTGTGTGTGTGTGTGTGTGTGTGTGTGTGTGTGTGTGTGGTTCTGCGCGTAGGAGTGTGCCAGCCTTACAACACTACAACGTAGTAATTAGTAGGTGCGCGTGTGTATTGTGTGTGCACGCGCGGAGGCGGTGCCTGCGTACTTTCGTTTCAATGCGCGCGTATAAACATCGCAGTGGAAGCCTGTCTAACTTTTTTTTTATCTCTATACAATTCCGCGAAATAAAGCGCAATGACGTTTTTTTGGGGAGATTTCTTTCGCGCTGCGAGCGAAGCGATCGCAATAACGCATTGCGAGTCGAGCTTAAAAAAAAACACGCGTACGTGCGCGCGTATCTCTTCCCCGATACTACATAGTGTAAAACATTGTGAACATGATGTAAACGTCGCCTGGTGCGTCCCCCTTGTTTACCGGTACATGGCGACAGGGGAACGCTAGATTTTTGCGCATTTTAATTGCAAGCATCAACTATTGTTTGTATCGTTTACATGCCATAAACTAGCTCTAGAATCTAGATAGAAAGGGCTTATAATTATGCAGAAGCACATGCATGTTCAAAAACCTGGGGGGGGGAGACATTTGATAGTGTGGGTCCCCACCCTTCAAAATGCGGAGCGGAGGCGTGTCCCCCGTGTCCCCATGGTATTTGTGCCCATTCTCATGTGTATGCGTACACGCGCATGCAGGCCTGTCTTCTAGGATGTGTTGTACTGGGAAAGAACGGTGATAACTTCTGGTTCTCGTAGAGTCGACAACGTAGACTTGTTAACAAACAGTAGAGATGAGATATAGAGTATAGTAGAGATGATGCTTTGTAGAACCGTGGCAGCAAGGTAGAGTAGCAGCGTAGAGTCTAGTCAGATAGAGCCGTGGTCGCAGATTAGTTATTGAACTCGGTCTTTATTACTACTCCGTCGAACACACAAATATATACATACTACAGCAACCAAGGTACCCGCGCCTAGGTCCCGCGTCTCGTCTGTCTTTCGTTCTCTACATCTTACATAGTAAGTGTCCATGTAATAACTAATATATAATGATTGTCTCTCCTCTGTATGTCCGTGTCTATTTATACGCTCGGACGCCGAGACGCGATTTTTTTTTTACCAAACGGTATAACAGAGGAAGGATTTAGGCGCCTTCTGATTGGCTGGAATTTGCCAAGATGTCAGCCTCCATGACTTGTAGCCAAAATCGCCGCCGGCGAGTCACCTCAATCCAACCAGTTAGGAGATGCTGTCTAATCTGACATTGTCTTAAACGCTAAGCGTCGCGTACTTCGTCAAGCCATCATTTCTCTGGCGCGAGGTGCTGAGTAGCGCGGGCATAGCGGGAGGATAACGTGGGGATAGCGTGGGAATAGAGGGGATAGAGGCGGGATAACGTGGGAATAGCGTGGGGGTAGCGGGGGGATAGCGTGAGGATAGCGGGGGGATAGCAGGGATAGAGGGAGGATAGCGGGGGATAGCGGGGGGATAGCGGGGTGATAGCGCGGGCATAGCGGGAGGATAACGTGGGGATAGCAGGGATAGCGTGGGGATAGCGGGGGGATAACGTGGGGATAACGAGGGAATAGCGGGNTATATATATATATATATATATATATATATATATATATATATATATATATATAAACTAATAGTACATGTACTGATAAGTTCAGTATACTGATAATCATGTGCAGGGTTTTTCCGGTTCAGGGTATGTCGCATAGATCATTATACTGTCGTCATGCACTGCGTGTAAGATTTGCGAAAGTAATATCGGTCATCGTAGCTTGATCATTAAAAGGGTGGATAGATGGATGATGGATGTGGTGTGGTGGTATGTGTAGGTGTGTGTGTGTGTGTGTGTGTGTGTGTGTGTGTGTGTGCGTGTGTGTGTGTGTCTGNCGAACGTTCTCGTTACATCCGCATCGGGATTCAGGCGTAAACGTACGACAATTCCGTTTGGGCCTTGCCAGCAAAACGATACATAACCTGCCTAATTTGAAACAACTAGGCCGCTACTAACGACTCTTGCGCCTCTCGCTCACTCGGCGAGGCGGTTGTGAGCTCGCTGGGCGGATTGAGCTGGGCTGCCTGCCTGAGATTGCGCGTGGGCCTGTGCGTTGCGGTGGGGGGGACTACCAGGCTGATAACTAGCGTCACAAGATTTAGCTCGCGGTGTGTGGTCGATGTCCAAGTCTCCCAGGAGCAAACGCTCGGCTGAGGGCAAGACGTGCGCCAGAGAGTCTGTTGTTAGCTGCTATTGTTTCAGCGTAGGCGGGGTGTATAGATTCGTTTTGCTGGCAGAATGGAGTTAATCGGTGTCGTAAGTTTAGTCTGTATTCTCGGATTGGGGCTTGTATCGATGTATATGTCTGTGTACGATGTTTAGATCGCAGGTTGGTTGAGTTACGCTTAGTAATCGATGGTATTCTAGGCTAGTAAGATGACGAATTTTGAAGTCAGCACTCCTTCGCCTATTAGTCTACTTCTGATAGTCTATATATATTATTATATATTATTATCTAAGTAGTATGGTATATATCAGGGTCAGTAATAATTTACATGTGATTATTACTCCTTTTATACTACTTTTGTTGTATTATTTATTCCTGACTATATATTATATATTATATACAGGGATGATATTGGATAATTTAATTTTCAGCTGAAATTTTAGTAGCAACAGAGGAGCGAGCAATGCCGAGGACGTAGGTCATTCGCCATGCTAGGTGGCGTCCGGTATAGGGAATTGTTTAAAAGAATGGCTGCAATTTGGTCAACTGCCATGTCTAAGCGTTTCTGAACACATTATAGGGGACTCTTGAAGTCACCAATGTCAAAGAACAACGACATATCAATAGGAATCAGTGGGGGCCTGAAAATAGTGCAATTTTTTATCTAATGTCTAGACATAATGTCTTTCTTCTGTGTTCCACCCGTCGCTTGCATTGTTTTCTCGACATAGCGGCTGCTTGCCTGCGACGAGATTTGAAGTAAACAAACACCATGCGATGAACATGTCAGTGCATGTCATTGCACACAAATGCACGCCAGCAACATGTAACCGGCCCCAGGCAGCATGGTCAGTTTACTTTTGATCAGCTACCTGCAATGTTTGCCCCTCTACTGCAGCCTTCGCCTCGTGAACGAGGATTTTCTTTTTGGTACGCAAAAACAAGCATACACCTGTATTACTTCGCTGTCAGCCTAGCTGTCTCACTCTACAGTTACGTTCAGGCTGCTGTTGAGCGGTATGATAATTTAAATTGTATACATTGTTAACCCCCTCCCATTTCTCACGAATTAGACGTTTCACAACATCGACCTCCTGCGACTGGTCATCGCAGATTTCCGCGGATCGCGGGAGGAATCTCATCCCAGTGCTTATAATAATTTTATATATATATAATATATATATACTTATAGTGTTATACATACATATCTATCACTTTCTATACATACAAAAGTAAGGAAGGCCACTTTTGGCCTTCCCCCTTGACAGATAGTTATACGGTAAAACTGTCTCTTGAAACCATGGATTTCTGCCACTGCCAATGGCCTAGCAGTCATTGTTGTGATCTGTAGTGGCCTCAATACGTATAGTTAGTATATGATTGATAATTCATTGGCGATCTCTATAGTTGCACATGTGCTAGTATAGTATAGTTTCATCTACAGTCCAGTTCGAGATCCAGTTCCAGTTGCTGCATTACCTGCGGAGGGGCGGGGGGGGGGCTAACATGTTTCGACTGGAGGAAGTCGTATTGGCGAGCATGCGACGAAAATTCGGCTCGAGTGTAAGTTATTTTTACTTCATTTGGATCTATTGATAAACTTTTACCGTATCTAGTATTATACTATATTATATATATATATATATATATATATATTATATATTTTACTACATCATAGCTACATGAATATTCGCATTCTTGCTTTCGGGAATCGTGCCACCCATGCTTCACAACCTTCACAAAACTCCCGCACTCGTCCGCCTCGACACGAACAACCACTATCCACAAAGTCGAAGATCCAGTGTATCGTATCGTCGACCCCTGAATGTCGGCCCGTAACCGCGAGTGTGCATCAGCGTTGCCTATGTTCAGTGGGCGACCGCCGTCGTGGCCCCGACCTACTGCGCGAGAGCGCAGTATGAACGCCAAGCGGGTTTTCCACTGTGTTCGAAGCTGGCGGCGGGAGACAAGACACGGCCTTGCAATGGCGCAGCCCTCACGCACACACACACACCACAGACACGCAACACGCACAGCACGGCATGCACGCACGACCACGCACGCACCACGCTACAACACACAACGCACACACACATGCTAAGGACTTCATACTAACCACATCCCCCCCCCCGCCACGACACGCCTCGTGTGCCATGCACCCTCTTCACAGCAGCACCGAGAAAAACACGGTGTAACTCCTTCTTACTGCTGGCCATTCACCAACGTCTACTCAGACGTCAATAATTTTATGATTATCGGGGCGCGCATTGTGGGGGGTTTTGCGCGTGCCGAGTGGCGAATAAAGATCACTACCAGTTAACACCACTACTCGTGCATTCGTCTTTGATATCCTTGGTATTCCTTCCTTGCTAACTCATGAAACCCGCTACAGACGATCCCACACTTTTTGCTGAGCCAACTGTCGTGAAGTTTATCTGAATCTGTAGTCCGAGCGGTGACGCAATGACCCGAGTATGCTAGAAGGGGGTTCGGGGGCATGCCCCCTTTCCTCGGCAATTTTTTTTGATTCCCGAGATGCCCCCAACTACATGACGAATAAGTTCTCGGGACTGAATATTTGCCTTGCTAAAATATTGTAGTTATTTTCATATCATGTTACTTCAATGTCACTGAAAGAAACCACCTTGAAATATTCTCAAAAACGTCTTTTTTTTTCGATCGCTTAATAAAATCGTCAGTTGTATGCCAACTGCGTCGTAGTGCGTCAAAATGCAATACGAATCGCTATAAAAATACGGTATCGTAGGGGTTCGGATCTCTGCGCTACAGCTTACCGATGATTTGTACAGGGTAGCGAGAGACGTCGGTTCGTGTTTGCCTGTACTCCCCCCGAAAACCGACGAGACTTGTCCTGCACATGGATGAGATGCAAACTGTCACGTACACGAATGATCAGGCTGCTTCACCCACACATTCATGTATACATTAATCCTGGTAGCAACTATAAGCTGAACTATATATCGTAATCAGGAGTGGATTTAATAGGCGCCATGGGTAGGTGTAACATATGTTTAAAACCTATGTAAAACATATGGGTACTGTAAATATGTAAAACATTATTTATTTTTATATTCATTTTTTCCAACTTATAGTATATATATATAGTATAAAATGATACCATGCATATTTAGCAGTTAGTAATGTATATAGTATAGATATATATATTATATATCTTATATATTTAAGCATATGTGTGTATATATATATTATATATATATATATATATATATACATATATATATATATATATACACACACGTACGTGTGTGTGCTTATCTAATCTATGGTACCGTTTTATGTCAATCATGGCAGCATACTTTGGTAGCATTTTAAAAAGTCATTATGATGTCAACCAAAGGAAACGAAGATGAGGAAACGTGGTGATAACTAAGCTACCAAGTGCCTTACGCATGCAAGTAAAACCAATGCTATTTATTCACATACTTTTCATGAAAGCTGAGGCAACAATTTCACATTATTTAATTGAACTACGTGAAATATTATTTAATATATATGCATGTCGCATGTTGATAATCTTACAGCACGGTTGGAAATAAAAGAAAATGCAGATAAACACATATAGACTGAATTCAATTTGTAAAAATCAAATCCATCAGTGCTCAGAGAGTGACCTTATATGGAAGAATAGTGTGTTCCCATGGCGACGGTGGACTCTCCCCCTGAGGATGTTTGATCTCCGTCCATGTGTCTGAAGCTGAACAAGTGAATGTCAGTTAACAAGCAGAGTTAGACATAGTGCCAAGGGTAGAATTTCCCAAGCTTATATGTATTCACTTTTTACTTTGTGAATGTGAATAAAAAAAATTCACTAAAAATGCGACATCTTTTAAATCGGTCTCAAGGAAAATAGATTATAATCTAGACGTACATGTCATTAAAGTCCATGTCTTAAAATAATTCTGACTATATACATATATATATAATATCATTATATTATATATAAATATATTATATATATATATATATATATATACTAGCTATTACCCGTCCTCCAGACGGGGTTGAGTACGGTCTGATTTGAGGATGGCGGTTTAACCATTTATCTCTCACTTTTATTTGAGGATGTATTTACAGTAAACGAAAAATACTGATATTTAGACTCGAGTCATATAGCAATATTTGTTTAAAAAATTGTATCAAATATATATATAAAATCTGAAATTTTACCTTTAATCGACACACATTTACTTATTTAGATATTATTTTTGAAAATATCATTCTGGTTAGAAGCATCAATAATAAGTTAAATTCTTAAAAAAGAAGCACAAATGCAGTGAGTAATTTTGAAGATCTATTTTCTCGAAAGTTAGTGGATGGCGCTGCAGGGTTACACCTCCCATTGTCAAATATTTGCACACACACGCGCACACACACATCACACACACGCGCGCACGCACGCACACACACATACACGCAACACACACACACACACACGCACACGCACCGCGCGCGCGACGCACGCACGCACATACATACATACATACATACATACATACATACCTCATACATACATACATACACAGGCCCGTAGCCAGGAGGGTTCGGGGGGTTCGAACGAACCCCCCCCTCCGAAGCCCTCACCCCCAGCAAAAAAAAGTTTTTTGAAAATTTGCAAAATTTCACCTCAGGTCGCTCCATTTTAGTGTAAAATTGCAAAATCTTCATCGTGCGGAGGGTGAACAGTGAACACCCCCTCCCACACCCTCCCCCGCTCGCGTCGCTTGGCTCCTTCGCCTGGTCGCTTCGCGCTCCGGACTCCCTGGACCCCCCCTTGCTCGCGCAGAAAACGCATTTGAGGGGGTCTAATATAAAAAAATTTCTGGGGGAGGGCTCCCCAGACCCCTCTTCGGGTGCTCGCAAATTTTGGGTTATGGTTAGACCCACCCCTGGTACAAATCCTGTACACCCCCCTGCCGAGCAAATTGCCTACATTGAAAAATGAACCCCCCCCCCAATATAAAGCTGGCTACGGGCCTGCATACACACATACATACATACATACAGCCGCACGCACGCACGCACGGTTTGTCTTAAATTTTCGCCTCACAGCTGTGCGTGGCAGTGGGTGGCTGTTTATACACCGCAGCCGCAATGGCTTTGGTGTGTGCGTTCGTGCGTGCGTTTTAGTGTGGCTTGCTATGCTAGGTGAAGGCTCCAGCAAATTAAATGATTAATTAATTATAGTATACCTTTAATCTACATTTAGTATAGCTATCTTGTCATTAAAACCCGTGAGAAAACACATTAATACTTTAACACAATTTCAAAAGGTTATGGTATATATAGTGTGGCATGTGTGTGCTCTAACTTAGACAATCGAAACGGCGTTTAAAAATGTGAGAGCATTGGGAGCCAGGTAAGCGCGGGCACGGTTACACCTCCCGTTGTCAAATATTTGCACACGCGAGCACGCGCGCACACACCGTATTCACACACATACGGGCGTGCGCAACCACATACGACATTTACACAAACACGAGCGCGCACACACGCACACACGCACGCAAATTTTCGCCTCACAGCTGTGCGCAGCAGTGCTTGGTTGCCTTGGTTGTTTATACACCGCAGCCGCAATGGCTTTGGTGCGTGCGTGTGTGCGCATGCGGATTTGGCGATCTTAAAAGTTGGTGCGGGTTTCCGATGAATGCCGAAATTTCTTCGGGCACATAACTTTTTAGAAAATTGCCTCCAAAAGTCAGTTTACGATCGAAAAATCGCGTTCTAACGTAGCGGAATGTATTCGGGACGTCCAGAAGGGGCTCCAGCGCGATTTGCGTGAGCACACGTGGCACGGTTTCAGAGGAGATACGGAAAACGACACTTCGGCTCTTTCTACTATTATATAGTAGATAATATATATATATACAATTTCGATGTCTTTGGTTTCTATCTAAAAACCAGTCCTGATTTTGACAATGCCGAGACACGCGCGGCCATGACGCAATCCATGCACAAACAGTCAAACACGCACGCATGTAGTATGCACACACGCGCGCACACCCACAGAGTCACATGCTCGGGGCGACGCGCGTTGCCGCCCCGCACTCTCCCCGCTTGGCACTATATCTAAACTCATTTAGTACACCCTTAACTTCATTCATGCCAATTCTGGTGCTTTTACCAAAAAACCCACAATTTTTTCACATATCTGTCCCACTATATCACTTGACGAGCCTTGCCCATGCTCATTTCCCATGACAAAACATGGAAAATGTGCAAAATATTCAGACTCGTAAAAAATTTTCCCCAAAGTGGATTTTTTATATGTTTTCCTATGACACATCCAGCTCATCTGGTGTAAAAATCGTCTTTATACCATTTTTTCCCCGTCAAAATGCTCTACTACCAGACTACTCACTCACCCGGATCGTATCTCCACAGGTCCCTCAGGGGCATCGTGCCGCTGCGGCCGCCGTGCACGTACACATGTCTCCCGTGTGTGCACGCCGCGTGCTTGTACCGCGTCCGCGGCCTCCCGCTCTGCTTCTCGGAGTCACGTTCTGGCTTTCCGGAATCCCGTTCCGGCTTTCCGGACTCCCATTCCGGCTTTTCGGAACCCTGATCCGGCTTTTCGGACCCCTGTTCCAGATTTACGGACCCCTGATCCAGCTTTCGGGACTCCTGTTTCGGCTTTCTGGATTCCTGTTCCAGCTTTGGGGACTCCTGATTCCGTTTTCCGGGCTCCTCCCATGCGTAGCGAGCGAGCCTCGGGTCCGAGATGCTCATGCTAAGTATGCTCTGCACCAAGAAAAGGAAGAATCGGTTGATACTTGCTGGACAGAATTGTCATTATTTAAACTCCTGTTATATATATATATATATATACACACACGAAGACACGCAGGAACTGCACACACACAATATGTGACTGAAAATTGGATCATATTCATGGCAATAAAATATTTTATCCTAAGCATGCATGGTTCGCCCCTTCAACGTCGCCTTCCTATTTAAAATTAATGCGACAGTGCCCGACGCTCCTCATACAAGTGTACAAATGTACGTGCGTTCTATATGCACGAATTAACTATGAAGAGAGAGAAGAATGGAGTATTGACACAAAATACCACAATGTCCCCATGACTAATACAAATAGACTATCAACACCTTGGAAACATGTGTCTCGAGGGATCTGTTTTTACCCCGACCGCTAGCAAGGATATAATAGTTCTTTTATGCAGAACAAATAACGAAAAAATTTTGTAAAGTCAACAACATTTCTACGTAGTAAAGTGAAAGCTCGATTTAGTGAAAATGAAAGAATTTAAAACGCTGTGCTATATGCCCGTAGCCCGCACGGTCTTCGATTTCCTAAATGCCGCGTCTCCTAACGCCTAACACTAAACGCCTTGTGACTTGAGTACCGGCTGAACAATAAAAAACTGCCGGCAATTACGATATCGGAAGACCGTGGCCCGGCAGCCGTCAGATTATATGCCGGCTGCTGTCGATATAATAGCCACCTGAATTTAAAACGCTAGTAGTATTTCAGCTCGGTTGAGGAGCTACATGTAGGCAAATGAGCGTCAAAAGAGTCATATATGCGAAAAGCTGAAAGTCAGCGAGGGAGGTCATATATCGAACATCCGAAGAAAGAATTCGAAATTATTTAAGATGGTTGTAAGGGGTTTAACAATATCCTGGGATAGTAAGTAATTGCAATATATTTTGAAAAACTCGATATATCTGCGATAGAAAAAAAATAAAACAAAAAAACAAAAAAATAAGCAACTTCCGGATATCATATTTTTACGATACGGTGGTATAACAAGAAATAGAACACTTGACACTTGACTTTATGTCTATATTGTTAAGCTTCAAAAATAAATGCCTTGGCGGTGTACTATATTTACAAAACCAATGCCTGCAACGACGCTAACTGCATGATCACTGCGCGTACTACGTGCGGGCAACACTGTGAGGCGAGCCCGTCAACCAGGAGTATATATATATATAGCCTATGCTCGCCTGAGTGCCCGCGCGCAGGCGCGCGCGGTGATACAAGCTGAAGCGAGCGCGCCATATCGTCAACAAACTATTTTAAGCTAGTTTGGCGCGCTCGGATCGAGTGGACTGGACATTGATGCGGCAGTGATGCCGAGGCGAGCGAGGATGACACTTTGTGTCCTCAATACAGCTAACGCGCAACTCCCTTTGAAATTTTTACTAGGTGACCCATCACAGTAACAAATAGCTGATCTCAGTAACCTACGGCCATTCGCTCAGGCTAGAACGGTTTCCTACGATGAGTTGGCACAAAAACGAAACTAAACATGTCCGTTTAGCGGACTGCCTACGTTACTTCTGTTGCATTTTCGCATTTCGTAATCAGATAAGACCCGCCCTTCTTCCGTTGATGGCAGAATGGGCTCATCACCGACGGGCCATTTCCCTATACCCGCTGTCGTTTACTTTTTTCGTAAATAATGAAAATGCCGGCCGATCTAGACTAGTACCCGTGTCACACCTTTCCTCGCAAGTATCCTTCGATACACTGACACTGTTAGTGTACGGTGGAACCTGTCGACCGGGTATCATTCTAGGCCGATCCGCAACTGCACTCAGTGACACCTTCGTACACTACTTGGAATATTCGTAGATGAGCCCATGAGCGAGGAGCCGCCATCGTCGTGAGTTTGGGCCGATTCGATGCA